TCTGTGAAGGCTGTGGATGCAGTCCTCTCTGACCCCTTGTATTTCCAAGCTCAAACACATTGAAAATGAGAAGGAAAAAAAAAGTCAGTGAAGAAATTCTGGAGATGTCTTTGCTGGTGGCAAAGTAATAGAGCAGTAGTGTGGCAATGCCATGTCACCTGCAGTTCCCATTAAATATTGCTGCCTGTAGGCATTCTGAGGGTCCTCATTTCTTTTCAGAAGTACTCAGTGATAATCCTTCTAAAATCTCTGCCTTTTTCAGGTGCTTGACATTAGGTATTCAGGAAATAAGGAGGAACCTACATGGCTCCTGCCATGCCTTTGGAAGGAATTTGTAGTGGCCAAGGGAGCAGGTGCAGTCATGCACAGGGAATGCTGTGGGCTGCTTGACAGGAGCCTTTTTCTTATAGTTTTTGCAAGTGGCCTACCAGTTAGCATAAGACTCTTATGCCTTTCCACCATCATCTAGCACTGCTCACAGTGTTGCCTAATGCTGTCAAGGCCTCAGGCAATTGCTGTCTTGTGTGAAGAAGCCAGTGTTTTAAGTTAGCTGTAGACTTTCCCTTTTGCATTTGGTTGTGCAGACAAATGTGATGTTCTTTGATTTTTTTTGTTTCCTACTCATTCAGGCTTCAGAGTGTTCAAAAGCATGGACTTCATAAAGATCTATTTTTTGCTACAGGTCTACCCTGTATGCAGAGCTACCCAGCTGAAAATCTGTAGTACCCATTGCGTGAAGGCTCTTCTTCCCCTTTTCTGCTTCTATAACCATTCTGGTAGAAAGAGTGGCACCATCTTGTAGCACCTTGCTAGTGGATGCCATCTTAGTAAAGCATGCTAGCAGGCCACATAACTTGCATCCATCTTTGAGCAGCTGGGTCTGCTCAGCACTGGTCTGCTAGTGCCCTGTGAGTTGCAGATAAGAGTGGGGGGCTGCAGGCTGCTCTTGCAGTGCTCCTTGGCCTGGCTTGATTTGTTGACAAGAGATCTGTGTGGACAGCTGAAGTTTTTTGCATCCCTGCGATTCCTTTGCAGATAGAGTTCAACATGTGGTCAATATTAGGTTACACAAACCATGAGGAATGCCCCGCCGCTGCAGTTCAGTAACTAAAGACACTGCAGAGTGTGCAAGAGGAAAGTACCAGAGCCCTGCCTCTTTGAGTCATAGCATTGCCCCACTGCTCCCCTTACAGATCTTCTTTAGTTCATGCTGCTTTGCATGTGTTTTGTGGCATGGTAGTTCATCTGGTTATGCTTCTTCTCTCACTGCTGGAGTGATCACTCCTCCAGGCCCCTGAGGGTACCTAAGCACTGTTCACCCATGTGTCTATGGAAGACTCTGTGGTTTAGTTGTAGCATGCACAGACATTGCAAGATTAGTGTTTTGCTCTTGTTTGTTTGTTTGTTTTCCTCACAGCCAACAGTTTTGTTGTTTTTGTTTTTTTTTTCTTTTTCCAGCACTGGCTTCAATGGAGTAAATATTCTGCCCTGGCAGATTTGCTCTAACTACTCCTGTGTTAGACGGTCTTGGAGATCATCAGTCTGACTCCATTCTCTCCTCTTCCCAATTCTGTCCTGCATCACTTCCCTAGGCTTTTGTTTCTCGATAGAGCTAACTTGGCACACCTGGGAAGTATCATTGCATCCATTTTCACTGAAGTAAAAGCTCCTCTACTTGAAAGAACTTCTCAAGGGAAGGACTCAGCATTTGTGAGTTCTTGGTGCAGAGCAAGAAACTTTTTGCCCCACACTCTGTGCCCGTTGTGACATCATGGTGGGCCATAGCCACATGTGAGGTAATGAGCAATGCCTCTAAAGACCTGCCTTGGATGCAGTCAGAGCTGCCCTGAGGATTTCTACAGTTGCATGTTCACAGAAGCAGGTTCTGCTTTTCTTCCCCCTGCTCTGAACCAGCAATTTGCCCCTCTGCCTGGAAGAGATGAACTGCAGTTCTTCAACAGGAGAAATAACATACACACACGTTTCTTGGTTAAAGAAAGAATTTAGCTTGTCTCTCCTCTTCTCTCTCTGCCTGCATGCGCCTTAGCATTGTCACTGGGACACTGGTCAGTCTGTCAGGAATGGCCATGTAGTTGCACAGCCTCCTGTGCCACCTGCAGGAGTTGGTAAGCAAAGGAATTAGAAAGCAAGAAGGTATAAGGGATTAATGAAGTTCTCATCTTGCATTTTTGAGCTGGAACTGTATGGTGTTTGGGGAGATGAGTACAGGCACTCTGAGAGCCAATTGACATTGAGTTATTCTGGTTTTACAGTGGTGAACTCGAACAAATTACCCTTTGGGTTCTTCCCAAGGGGAATGTTTGCTGTCTCGGTTCACAAAGGAACTAAGGATGTGCATTTGCTTGGGAATATTATTATCCAAATCACAGTGTTCTTTTGAAACAGTTTTTTGACTGAATACCAAAAAGAAGCAATCAAATGCTTGCCTCAAAAGACCTTGGCAAAGCAGTGAATGGTGAAATCATAAATTTCTTTTCTCCTGCTCCCTTAGAGCAAAATTATCTATTTCTGGATGTTTTTTTCTGGCCTTGGAAAGGAAGTGAATCAAGTTTGCAAATGGAGTTTGGATCAAATGAAATGAAATCTGCTGTGCCTTTTACATGTAGCTAAACTAGGGCAGTGTCCTGAGGAGCAGTGTTTGTTCTTCAGCCACAGACCTCTTTCTCCTAAGGAAGTTTGGTAGAAGAAATGTGTGTAGTGTAGAACTGAGAGTTTAGATGTGCAGGTTTCCTCTCATCTGTATCAAAATTTCACCAGGGAAGACTTCTAAGTTCACTGAACAGCACTTTTAGCTACCCTTAGATCAAAGTTCCTCTCCACCAAGATCGTTCTGGCTGGCAGGGTTGCCTCTTCCATGTTTACCCCTGGGTGAAGTTTGGCAAGGATTCATTCAAGATGCTCTTCATTTTTGAGGCATGATGTTGGTTTGTGGCTAGAACAAATGGCGTGTAGGAGAATCTATTTTGATCTCTTATATGAAATATGCTGAGAATGCAGCAAAGTCTTCTTCCACAGCTTGCCTGGATACTGAAGGACATGGGCAGCATGCTGCTTGGTTGGGGTTTTGTTCCACATTAGGGCTTGATTATTATGTCCCCAGGCTGGATGTTGGCGGTTGAAATGTAACCTTTCAGGGTTTTGATAGCGTTGCTGCATTTGCTCAAATGTAGTTTCATTTATTGTTCAGTTCTAGCTAGTCAGGGAGGGTAAGGTCTGGGTGTATCATGCCTTAAGCAGCTGGAGGCTGACCATCACATGGTGGGCAAGACTTGCATCCACTGCGGGGTCTCACATTCCCCAAGTAGCCTAGTAAGCTCAACAGCACTGGGGTACAGAAAATGGGTTTGTCCTCTGTCAGCCCGTGTGACACTGCTCAGAATGGGAACGAAAACCATGACAGTAGATCAGGGTAATTAGAGCTCTTGTAATTGCAGCCTGATGAGTCTCCTTGCCCTGCTTGCCAGTGCAAGAGTTTTCATAAGTGAGCAGGGATCCTTTCAGCACTGGAGAAGAGAAGCTGTTTCGTCCGGCACTGAAGAGAGTCAGTGGCTTAAAGAAGTTGGGAAATCTCAATTTTCTTCCCATCTGGGAAGCTGGCAGATGTGAGGAAACAGGCATCGAGCACGCCTTTGGTTTCACAGGAAGTTTATGGAGGTGGATAAATTCCTCAGTAATTTGAGGAGGATCACTGTGCTCGTTTGAATCTTAATATCTGGTCTGAAATATGTCATTGGAAAAATGTTTGTGCCCTAAAGAAGTCAAACCTAAACTAAATTTAGAAGTGACCTCTAAATTTAACCACAAAACTGATGGATGCAGATATTTTCATCACTGTCAGAGTACTCCAAGCCATTTTTGGTCAAAACTTCAGTATTTTCCTATATTTTTTCAGTGTTAGCAGATGGGGCGATTGAGTGTACCTGGTCTTCTCCTGGGTGGGATAAGAAGCACTGCTGGGTGATCAGAGCTCATCAGATAAGTTTGTATCAGATTTGTTACAGTCCATGGTGCTCTGAGCAGACCTCTCTGCTGCCAGAGCTCCCTCTGTACCTGCCCTTTACTCTCTCCTTTCATCTCCAGTTTTTAGTAAAATCTCACCACTAGCTGCTGAAAAAAAGATCAGCAATCAATTGAATAATAACAGTGCTCAAGCCTCACATCTGTGCTGTACCCTTTGCGGGTGCGGGGTCTGATTCTGCTGTCTAGACTTAATATGTTACATTGCATTCAGTCAGGATGCCAGGACTGATCTCTCTGGAAGGAAATGGAAGATGTAGGAAGCTGGGTAATTAGATTTTCATTTATACATGTTTCTCTTGTTTCAGCTTCTGTGTTGTTTGTTGTTTTTTAATTTCCCTGGGTGGGTAGGCGTGAGATACTCACAAGTATTAAGAAATAATTCCAGTTCAGCGATGCAAGGAAGGTGCAAGCTGTAGCTGAGGGTACTTTCTTCTTCCCAGCACTTGCTTGTGAACTCAGGGAAGCTGGAGAGGCCTGGCAAGCAGCCCACACTCCTTACTGCTGCTGACACCTCTCCAGCAGAAGCAGTGTGTGGGTAGGCAGGTAATTTCATCACAGGGAGGAGGAGGCATGCATCACCTTTTGTTTAAGCAGAAGCATCTTTTTGGAATGCTATCCATTTTATCGGTTAGGGCTTGAAGAAAGAGCAGCCAGGAGAGGCTGGATATTATAATTAATGCAAGTGGAGGCAGGCTGCTGCGTCTGCCTGCCTGCCTGGAGAAGAATAACCTGTTGAATTTGCTAGGCATTGTTGCTGTGAGGACAAAAGCTACGGTTACAGGGAGCACAGCAGCAACAAGTGGATGAGGTAGCTGCTTCAGAGCTATGCTGTGGGGAAGAGACAGGGGCTTGGATCTTGGACACTGGATACCCATTTGGGTTAGAGCCTCCACTTTTGCCTCCTAAGCCTGGGGAGGAGGAATACGCGGCCCGCACGGTTTTGACTGGGTCAGCCGAGGATGGCCGCGCTCTTCCAGCACTTGAGGATCCTGCTGTGGAAGAACTGGCTGAGTGTCAAGAGGCAGCCGGTGAGTGTGAAAGCAAAGCCGTAGAGGAGCGGGAGCTGGAAGCCATGGAAATGCTCCTAGGGATGGAACACCTTCCCTATGAGGACAGGCTGATAGCATGGATAAGCTCTGGGGGAAAACTGATAGCAATCTTTCAGCATCTAAAAGGGAGGTTGTAAGAAAGGGCGCAGACTTTTTAGCAGGGTCTGTTATGATAGGACAAGGGGAAATGGTTTCAAACTCAAGGAGGGGAAACTTAGATTGGATGTAAGGAAGAAGTTGTTTGCAATAAAGGTGGTGAGGCACTGGAATGGGTTGCTCAAGGAGGTGGTGGATGCCCCTTCCTTGGTGATTTTCAAGATCAGGCTGGATGGGGCTCTGAGCACCTGATGGAGCTGTAGGTGTCCCTGTTCACTGCAGGGGAGTTGGACCTTTGAGGGTCCCTTCCAACTCAGTTGATTCTATGGAATGAGGAGCAAAAAGGATTCTACACCAGAGGAAAGTCATGGTGTTTAAGTATAAATATTCTGGAAGCTGTCAATAGAGACAGGGAGGGAAGGAAAGGAATGACATGGAAGAGAAGATGGTCGTTTAAGCCCAAGTGGTTGGATCTTGCATTGAGGGCTCAGGAGTCCAGAATGAATACCAGGGATGCCTCTGTTCCCTTGGGCCAGTGGTTTATGCAGACTAAACCATACACAGAGTCATTGGCAGACCTGAATTAAGGATGTTAAATCCAGTGTGAACAGACACTGGTCCCTGCTTGAGGGCACTAGGGGTATCCTCTGTAGCTTTTTGTAACAGTTGGCCAAAGGAAAAGAACTCTGAGAGGTACGGGTAGGGCAGATTTCCACTGCAGTCCAGTACATGGCAAATCAAACGTACCAGATGGTCTGTCTTTCCAAAAGAAAGCACTGCCAATGGTGTCCAGAGAACAGTGTGAATTGCAGCATCATAGAGGCAAGCGGTCCTTTGGGTGGCACGGCGTGTCCAGGCAAAGCCTCTTCTGGTAGTTTTGTTGCAAGCTGGTTTCAATACAACTGCACTGGAGTTCATGGACGAGTGTTGCAACCCATCCCCTTGCTAGTAATCCAGATGTGATGACTTTTAAACTTCCTAGTTGAATGGAAAGCATTGGCAGGTGCAGAAAAAGCTGACAAGATAAATGGCCATGGAGAGTGTGATTTAATGATGGAGTGAAAGACCTTATATCACTGCATGCTGCTGCAAGGTCCACTGTGTGCCTGCCCTGTCCTGCCTCTCAGGTCGGGAACCTGATTGGGAGAGTCTTTAATCTGAGTCCTTGTGATCTTCCCCAGGAGCTGCAGACATGCTGTGTTCCTCTGAGCTAAGTCTGGGCCTGCTGCAAAGGATACTGGACAGGCTTTTTGTGAGATGCAGAAAAATACCAACAAATTACCTCCAGTTTCTCAAGAGCAATTTTAACAAGGTTGTTAAAACCTGGAGGCTTGAGTCTCTTTCAGCTGCTGCACCTGGAGTAAATGCTAACCTAAAACCTGAGTATGCAGCTGACTGTACAAACTCACTGCTCTTGGTTTCTTGTAGAGATGAAACATCTGTAGAATGGAAAAGTCAATTAAAGTATGTCAATGTTAGGGCAGACGTTCCATCCAACTCTCCTTCCTTTCCCTCTCTTGCTCTCAATTAGGAATCTTGCTCAGACTGGAGGGAGTGTGAGGCCATAAACCCACAGTTCTGCTCCCAAATGCATCCTGTTTTCCCTATCCTTTCAGCTTCCTCCTTTTTTATTTTCACCTGTGTAATCTGTCTCCACCAGTGGACCAAGCTTTCAGGAAGTTTGTTGTGTTGGTTTGTTTGTTTTTTTTTCCTGTGCTCATTTTGCAGGGGAAGCACTCTGAGCTTCTCTGTTTCTGATAACCCATGAATGCATTCCTGCTGCTGCAGTGATGTTCACTGCCCTCCCCAGGGCTGATTGGCATGTCACAGAGCACTCTGACACAAGCCAGCTCCCATCCCTCTGCAAACTGAAGTGCTTTCCCATTGCTCTGTTTATCAGCCTCTCCAGGGCTAGCAAATAACATTCGATCCTGCATTTTGCTTTATGCTTTATTTCCTCTGTGCACTTTCTTCAGAGCCCCTGAGAGATTGCCTCTGTTTGTGCAGCGTGGGGAGAGCTACAGCTTCTTGGCCATCAATTTGATGAAATCAGCTGAAGCTCTTCATCCATACCCAGGGAGAGCCTCAACACTGGTTACTCCTGCTGAGAAAGGAATGGCCATGAGTTGAGGTGGCAATCTTCTGTGAGCAAAGTTTGGCCTGCCTGCCAGAGGGAGCTGGAGAAATCAGTGCCTCTTGCACTTGTTTATTGTTTTCCATCTGTCACTTCTGTGCAGTATGCTTACTTAAAAAAACAAAAAGGCAGAAGGCAGAAGAAAACCACACGCCTGCATCCAAACATAAAAAGATCTGAGATTTTTAATCTGCTTTTAGCAGCGAAATAGTCCAGTAACCAAAGGATTATGCAACATGTGGCACAGTGCTTAATCTCACAAGCCAAATTGGCTCTGATTATGGCAAACATGTTCTACCTGCACAGGTTTGGCCAGGCTGGTTGTCTTGTTTTCATTAAGTAGGAAAGCTTGGGACAGTGAGAACACTGTTGTGTGGCAGCTGATGTATCCAGCTGCTGTTAAATCCCATTAAATCAAAGGACAGAGATTCTAAAGGAAGAGCTGTCTGGGAAGTGGGGAATGTTAGCACTGTATTAGCTCCAAACAGGGAGGTGCAAAGATTTCCTTCAGTGTAGGCAATCAGCATTCATTTCTTCCCCCAAAATAGGAAGGATATCTTGCCGTTCCTTTAGGCAGCCTCTGACTAAGATCAATTTCAGTGCTGTTACCCCATAATTTTATTTTAGCCTACATGGTACTAAACTAGGAGGATACCTTAATAATACCATGTGCATATGAATTAGTCTGAGTTAAAAACTGTGTTTGTGGTCTGATTATAAGGCAAACGTGATACAAAGTATTATATAAAAAGATGTTAGTTTCAGGGATGGATCTTGTTGTATAGAGTACATACAAAGAAAATAGAGTAGTGTCTGTAGAAGCTAAAAGCTGCTTTCTGAATGCTGAAATTTGAGGAAGACTTCCTCTAAAAGGGTGTTTTAGGAGGTGGTTTGACATTTGTCAGTTCCCTGGTTTGGGGCACGAATCCTGTTCCCACTTCTGTGGCTGTCATGTCATCAAGGGGTGGTATGGAAGGACTTGCTGTAAAACAAGCATCTTTAAGCTCGTCACTCTCCAGGACTTGTCTGTCTGTTTGTTTTTTACCTTCTAAGAAGTGCTACAGGAAATGAAGACATTATTATGGGCTTGGAATTACCTTTGGAAAAACGGTGTGGAGTAATATGTGCTGATCTGAAAGAAACAGCAACGCAGTGCTGCGAAATGGGATGATTTTGAAGAAAGGCATCTTTGGAGTTTCAGAAATTGGCATGAAGATAGCACAGCAATTTCACAGCACAGGGCACTCGGAGCTGTACAAATGAATGGGAAACTCAAATCCACTAACCACAGTACCAAGCTAGCCAGCTAGTGCAGAAGCAGTTAATTATTTGAAGAATTGCATTTTCCTAGCTTACGAAACACCAAGGTTTTAATACTGACTTTGGGCCTTGTACTTACATTGACTTATTACACTGGATGGTTAGCAGATTCTATTTTCTTTATTCTCATCCATTGAAATGGGCTACCCTTGTGTCAAAGACAAGAGATCTTTTTTTTTTTCCAACGTGCCATGCTGGTTTTGCATCATTTCTCTCTTATCTCAGCTCATCTGCATAAATTGCTACAATTTGGCAGTGGGATGGAACCAGGGAGTTAGGTTGTGTGGTCAGAAGCTCGCATGAGGAGTGACAGGTTGCCAGTGTTTGGATGGGATTTCTCCAACTGATTGGTTTCACAGCTCTGTAATAAACCCCTTCCTTCACTGTTTTGTAAACAAATACTATGAAAATTCTCTTTCTTTTGGCTCTGCTGTTTGTGAAGGATTGTGAAAGCCTTTGGAAAAAAGTAACCTTGTCATTTGTATGTCAAATGACTTCTGAGGAATAGTGAGTCAAATTAAAGACATCTTTACTGAAAGCAAAACCAACCTTTTTCATTTTTGCTGTTAAATTTTGTGACCATTGCATCCAAAGGTCTTGTACACCTCAGGATGCTTTTACTATTACATAGCAGTGTCTCAAATCAGTACAAAATGCATCAACAGCCAAACCGAAACACAGGGAAGCTTGTGTTATTTTCAGTCTTGTCATTTGCTCTTACAATCTTATGTGGTTTTTCTCCCGTATAGATAATACCTGAGTTTTAGTAATATGTGTTCCAAGACAGGCATTATTTACAGTATATGCTATAACTCATTTAGGGTGGAACTTGTGCATTCTAGACAAGCCCTGGGACGCATCAATACAACAAACATAACCAATATATTTTCATTGCTGTTTTATAGGTATGGTCGTTCATTTTAATTTCCTGGCCTGTGGTTGTTTTCATAATCTTGGCTATCATCCGTCTCAAATTCCCTCCAGAACCACAGCCAAACTGTAAGTAACTGGTTTGCTTTTATCTCTTTGGGGATTAGCTCTCATTTCGATGACTGATGTGTTAATTTGATGTTTTTTGTTACTTTTGTAAATTCGGCTCTCTGCAGCTTCCAGTGGAGATTTCCTGGTATGAAGCATGCTGTAAATAAAGTGTCAGTGTTCCTCTGAGGTTGTTTATATTTATGTTTCTTTCAAATTAGTTTCATAATTAGAAAACAACTTTACAGAACTGTCTCATCAAGATGCACTCAGATACTGCTGTTGTAGCAGCAGTATAAACCTACTTGATAAATTGAGGGACAAGAGAACAGCTGAGGGCATTCTTATTCAGTAAAATGAGTAAGGGTATAGGATTCAACTAGGGTAAAGAAAACACAGTAAAAACAGTGTGCTCATCGTGAAAGATTCACCTTTCGTTTGCTAAAGGAAAAAGCACCTATTTAGGCAGTTACTGCTAGGGCTCAGCAGAAAAGTGATAACTTCTTTGGCTCCAGGGACATGATGATGCATGTGAACCTTTACTAGCAAGCCAAAGAGCAGCTGGTCGGTGTGTGGATAGTTGATAGTGCTTAAATGGATGAAGAGTTTACACATGCTGGTTTTCACTTGCATGCTTTGCTTCCTCAGTCAGGAGAACTGTGTCTGTATCGCAGAGTTTGAGTCCACTTGAATCTTCTCTGAAAAATTTACACTGAGTTCAGTGGGTGCCTGTTACCACTGGAAGAAGCAGTGCTGTCTTGCTCTCAACCCTGGCTATGTTTGTTTATGAAATTACATGGTAAAAAAAAAAAATAGCAAGGAGTTTATCCAGTTGGAAGTCTTTTTCCTTTCCACAATGTTAATTCTGGTTTTAATCTAATCCCTGGTTCTGCTCATTGTGGCCTCAACAAGTGCATACCCAAGGGGAAGGGGAAGGGACTGGTTGGATGACCTGGTCCCTCTTTTTAGCAATAGCCTACCTTTGTGTTGGGAAAAATCAGTTACAGAGCTGTACTCCCTTCACATTAGAGACATCCCTCAACATCAGTTGCAGAGGCACTAAAAGAACATGCAAGATTCGTGCTTCACATTTCACATCTAGTTTGCTAAGTTACATCCTTGTACAGAGAGCTATTACTGACAGCCACATTTTCCCAGCACAGGGTGAGAGTAGGCCTTCAAATTGCCCTTATTAAAAGTTTTGCTACACCTGATACATAGGAGAGGCACCACCATGGCTAACCAGCATCAGACTGACATTGAGTGCACAAGAACAAAGTAATGTCATGGGAATGCAGGACGTTTGTATTTGAGGCAAGGATGCTGATACAGACTGGAGAGACAGACTGACAACAGCAAGGACAAGCAGTTGGACAAGCAGTTGGCTTCTAGTGTTTGTTTGTAGCTATCAGATGGGTAAAATGTGTTTGAGAGATTTCTGTGTGCACTGGAAATGTTCCAACTTGGTTAATAATGTGCAGTTCTCTGATTAGAAGTGTTTCTGAGCTTCAGAGTGATGTATGAAAAAAGGCCACACGGTAATAAACACTAGATATGCAATTAGGATAGCCCTTTTCTCAGAGAGCTTGCAGCCTACTCAGGCTAGAAATTTGTTTATGTAATTTGTAAGCAATGATGGAGAGTTAGAATAAGGGACTTCCTATAAATTTCGCAAAGTCTTAAACAGAGAAGGACATTCTTTGTGTGTTAGGCTGGACTTTTAACCCTAAGCCCATCTGCTGCCAGTGAAAGGCCTCTTTGGGCTTTTTACTTACCTTATGTTCTGCCCAAATCCCCTTGAACCAGTTGGAGAAGGCAGGACAGGACATGTACTTAGCGAGAACTGCAGTTTTGGCCAAGTGTGGAAATGGCATTCCTTACACGTGGCTCCAGTGGTTGTACTTCCTGTCCCTGAGAGATCAGATAAGGCCAATGTTGAGAGTGCCAGCTGGATGGTAAAATATTTATTCATTTCTGCACATGGCTATTAATTTGAGTGTGTATTTATGTTTGCTCTGGGGGATTACATCTGTGAATTATTGCATTGGAAGGAATGTTCCTAGGAGCAGCAAGTATTTTCATCGGTGGTTCTCCGCAGGAAAGGGGAGACTGGTCAGCATCTTTGGACTTGTTCTCTTTCCCTGCATGGATGGATTTTATTTTGGGGCAAATCTCAGCATCTGAGTAGTCTTTCTATCTGAAGTAGATGACAGGAACTCTATTGCAATGGAGGTTTTGGGCTGGAAAAGTTGTTAATAGTTGTTGCATGCTCCTGTGATCCATGTTATTTAGAAGCCATCTAGAAATCCAAGGGGGATGAAGAAGAACATTAACTTGGGAATTGAACAGCTGTTTCCTGCTGTTTTTCTAGTCAAATAAGAATACCCACTTGAAGATTACCCTCTTTATTTTTGACAACTAGAAAAATGTATCAACTTTTCTCTTGAAACCAAGAGAAATCATTTGGGAGCTGTCTTTTCTGACAGGAAACAAACAAAAACAATGTGGGTGGACACATAGGAAAATGATTACAGGTGGGGTTTATATTCAACAGGAATTAGATCCACTCTATACCAAATTCCAGTGGCAAGTTTAATGGCACAATCAGTAAGTGGTGGCAAGAAGCAGTTTCCAATCCTGCTGTCAAGAGATTATTGCAGGCAGACAGAAGTCAGGAAGCAGAGAATCAACGACACAGAGATAGAATAAGCTGCTCAGATGCTGAGTTTTGGAACTTTACATAACCACACAGAAAATCTAAATCTAAGATCTAACCCATCTCATATATTCATGGCCACAGAAATATCATGAAATCTATTATTTGCTCAATTAAATTAGCTCCAATTTGAGATGAGTTCTCCTGAAGTATGTCTAATACACATTTAATGGCTTATTTTGGGAAATTACCTAGCAAATATCCATCAAGAATGAACAAGTGGCAAGAGCTTCTTGAAAGTGCAAGTCACTTGCTTTCCTTTGTTTGTGTAGCACCTAATGCAATGGGATCCAGCAGTGGGCTGAGCTCAAAAGAGAAATGACACGCCAAATAAACATCACCAGTCAATCACCTGTAGGAACACTGAGAACTGAGGTCGAGTAGGAAGCTGGAATCCAATTTGCTTTGTGATTAAAGCACCTAGTATCTTAAAAAAGAAACAAACAAAAGAAGAACCCAACCCGCTCTTATTCCTACGTATTTGTTCAGTGATGTATTTCCTGGTCAGCAGAAATTAATATCAGAAGAAAATGGGGATTTGTTTCTCTGCATACTCAGCTCCTGTGGTGATCTAGAGTCTCACCAAACAGTTTTACCCAACCCTTTGTGCACGTTGAAGTTGTGTCTGTTGACCTTTTGTTGCAGTCGATGTATTTGCTGGAAGACACTGGGTTGCACCGTGCGGAGTGTGTGTGGTAGGAAGCTCTGCGTTTAAGCCTGTGAATGGGGTCTGAAGTATCTTCCAGTCTTTTGTGTCTGTATCACCTGTTTTCTAGAGTGAGTAGGGACAAAAGTCCCTTTACATCCCTTTACATCACTACAGGTTTTTGCAAAGTATGGGAATTGTGTGAGAGATACCATCTGTCCCTCAGGGCACAACCCACTCAGTCTATAGGGAAGCCCAATTATGCTCCTTGCTTTAACTAGCCCTGTCACACCCTACCCGCCCGCTTTCTTCCTTTTCTGTTCTCCTTCTTTCCCCTCCTGTCACTTTGACCTCATCCTCGTTCTCCATAGAAGCTCTCTTGGATGTGGTTAGTTGCCCACTCATTCTGAAATCTTGCTTTTTCAGTGCTGAGAAGAGGATAAGGCTTTGCTCTCCTGTTAGACTCCCTCTGCTATCCAAGGGTGAAAGTTAGGCACGGTCTACAAAAGCTGTGCCTCGTTCACAAATATTTTTCCTTCTTCATGAAAAGAAGCCTTGCTCTTGGGTCCAGTCTGAAAAAATACCAAGTTCCTAATGCCAGGGAACTCCTTTCCTCCTCTTGGCAAAGGATGTTTTACCCTTCATTTCTGCCCAGAATTCTCACCCAGATTTCATCACCTCCATGGAGAGATGCCTGCATGATGAATTGCATTCACTCAGATATTTCTGATAGACTCAGTAACCAAGTGCTCCACCAGTCTCTCCTTCTGTGACTTCACTGGGTAGTATGGAAAAATTAATAGGTTCCCATGGTAATTATAGGTAGTCAGGATATGGTGACTACACAGGCCACTCCATTCATTTGGATAAGTCATGGGTATTTATGTAAGGTATGATCCACCCTAAGAGTTCAGCCTACTCTATATACAGAGAAGCACACATCAGACTCCCACCACTCTGCTTCACCATTTGCCTGCAGTCCCATTCCTCGGTGTGCTTTGCACTGCTGTCTTAAGTTGTTGGGAAAGTTCTCTTTGCCCAAGGAGGCTGTGGATGCCCCATCCCTGCAGTCTTTCAAGGCCAGGCTGGATGTGGCTCTGTGCAGTCTGGTCTGGTGGTTGGTAACCCTGCACATAGCAGGGGGTTGAAACTAGATGAGCATTGTGGTTCTTTTCAACACAAGCCATTCTAGGATTCTGTGATTCTTGTCTATCATTTTCTATCTGCCCTTGTCTAGACAACTCAATGCCAGTTTTGTCTGTGCTTGACTTCAGTGTGATTAGAAGAATAGTCTCTTCAGATCTCTCCACAAGTGTCCTTTTATTTAGGTTAGCCTGAACAAATTGCTGTGATCACAGACTAACAGCATGGCTAGGGTTGGTAGGGACCTCAAAGATCATGAATCTCCAACCCCCCTGCCACATGCAGGGACACCAACCTCCCCATTTAATACTGGACAAGCTGCCCAGGGCCCCATCCAACCTGGCCTTGAACACCTCCAGGGATGGACGGAGCACCCACAGCCCTCTGGGCAGCTGTTCCAGCACCTCACCACTCTCCTAGTACAGAACTTCCCTATGACATCCAACCTAAATCTTCCCTCCCTCAACTTCAAAGCATTTCCCCTTGTCCTGCTGTTATCTGCCCTTTCAAAGAGTT